TAAAATTCGTACTTTTTTTTTTTTTTTTCATGAATGAGAGGAGCCAGAGGTGTGGTCTCCCGGGAACTGAAGAGAAAAATGGATTAAGGGCCAGGGATCTACAAAGCGACCGGGGAAATTACACTTGTTTGGGAGCAAAGCGAAAATATTAGAGCAACAATAATAACAATAACTGCCTGCCGAGAGCCAAAGAGCTTTAGGGTGGAGGATTAAATGTCATGTGCAGATGTTGTGATCTGTGCTGGCAGAGAGAGGGAAGAGCTAGCGGTGCCTTCTTGCCTAATTCCCTTGGGACCAGTCTTTCTCCCCTTTCCCCGCGGTGTTTCTGTAACCCTCCAAGCCAGGCGAAACGAGTTATGGGTCAGCATTTCTGCACACACACACTCCCTTCCCTCCGCGTTCTCGCACTCATCACAAACCCTGGTGAAAGAAGGGACAGTTTGATCACTTTTTGCATCCCCGAGCCGGCCCTTGGGAGCTCAGGGAACCCCCCAGGCTCCCTCCGCGGCGGCTCAGTCGATGACAAAGCGCTGCAGCAGGACTGGGGAGAGCGCGGCTTCTCCTCACTCCGCCGCGGGGCCGGCGGGCAGGTGGCAGAGACCCTCGACGGGAGAGCCCGGAGAGTCCGGCCGGACCTGTGAGCATCGAGAGCGGCGAGCGGCCTCGGCTCTGGCCCCAGTTCAGCCCAGCCCGGAGCCCCGCGGTGCCCCGCCGGAGATAAGAGGTGCCCCGTGCCGGAGCCGGGGCAGGGGCAGCCGGAGCGGGACCCCGCGGGGTCTCCTCTCCCGCTCTGCCAGGCCGGAGCCGCTCCAGCCGCCACTGCCCCCCCGCACCTGCGGAGCGAGGTTTGGGGGGTTTGAGGGGAGCACCCCAGGCCGCCCGCCGTGTCAGTGTTTAAAAGATCGCGGAGATATTTTCACACCTCAAACCGCCGCCGCCTTCCTTCCCTCCTCGGCCCCCCTTCAGCCCCCATCGCCTTGATTTAGCCCTTGGTAATTAATTTGGCATTTCAGAATAGCTACTGGGTTGGATAATGGCCTCATTCATCTCCCCAGCCTAATCTGAACAGAATCTGGAAGAAAAGCTTTCAGAAAGACAGAAACTGCCATTCGGCAACTGCTCAAAAGAACTGTCACTCCAGGGGAATAAATCGCTCCTGATTATTTCAACCCGGGTCTTCTCTGCTTTTCCAGCCGCTCCCGATCCCGCCGGGGAACGGCCCCCCGAGAGCCGAGGAGGGGAAGAGCCGCCCAGGTTTTCCCCCTCCCTTCTCCAAACCCGGGCCGTGCAGGGGGAGGTGGGCGAGGAGCAGCGCATTGTTCCCGGCGAGGAGGACGAGCTGCGGCACCCGAAGCCATTTGACTTTTAAAACAGACTCCGAGCGCCGGGGCCGCCTTTCCCGCTCGCCCCGGTGGGGTTGAAATAAAGCCCTTATCTGCTCTCCGTCACCGGGGCTTCTCCCGGGCCCAACGCGGGGGAACGGGGAGGTTCCACTCTGCCCTAGACCGGCCGTGCCCCGCCGCCGCGCAGCCCCTGGGCCCTCACGGGGGTCGGCCGCGCTCCCGGGGCAGGTACCGGAGGTACCGGAGATGCTCCGGTCCCAGTGGAAGTACCGGAGATGCTCTGGTGCTGGTACCAGAGATGCTCTGTCCCCGGTGCAGGTACCGGAGATGCTCCGTTGCTGGTGCGGGGACCGGAGATGCTCCAGTCCCGGAGGAAGAGAGGGCGAGCGTGCCTCGGGGTCGCACCGGGGCTGGATTCGGCAAGGATCTGTCCCCTTCCGAGCCAGGAGAGTGCCTGGGTTAGCTGGTGCTTAATGACAGGAAAACCAAACCCCAAGGTAGGGGGGCGACCTGTGGCCTGGTGCCCCGAGCACCCCTCATCTCCATCCTCCCGGGACTGCCCCAGGCCCCTGCCCGGAGCGAGCGGACAGACTCGGGCCCGAGCCTCGGAGAGTCGCGCCTCGGTCCCCGCGGAGCTGCTTACATGCATTTAATAGCTCGAGGGCGAGGTAATTAGAAGAGAAAGCCTCAGTAAATCACGTTAATGACCGCAAGAGCCATTACAAACCCCGGGGGTTGTGAAACACCGAATAAACTCAGCGAGAAGGGCAGGAGGGAGGCGAGAGCCGCAGCCCCGGGAACGCCGCCGGGCAGTGCGGGGCCCCGCGCTCGGCAGCGCCGGGTGGTTGTTAAATTAACACCCTGCTAATGGGATTAGGCAGCACCTCGGGTTTGCAGGGGAGTTTAGCGGAGGTCAGGATTTCTTAGATTCACCTCATTTTTTGCTGTGCGGTGTTAAAGAACCGTGCGGGCTTTGAGGGATTGGGGATGTGTGTGGGGGTAACCTTTAAAAACCTTCCCAGAGTTCAAAGAAACGCTGAAATTTTAGCCCTGTCCTGCGCCCGGCAACATTCCCGGTGCCGCGGCCGGGCCGGCAATAGGGTCGAGGGGCGTCGGGAGAAACCGGAGCTAAACCCGCATCCTTTCCCTGGAGAAACGCGGTCCTCGCAACGGCACCTGCTGCGCCCCGAGCCGGCCCCGCGTGTCCCCCTCGGGCACAGGAGCCAGTGGCCTTGTCGATTCGTGTCCCCCCCGGGCACAGGAGCTGGTGGCCCCATCGCTTCGCCGCCCCGGCGAACGGGGAGTCCCGCAAGGAAGGGCTGATCCCGGACACGCGTGGCCGGAGGAGAAGCGCCGGGAGGACAGAGCGGGGGCTCAGAAAGGACGAGCGGGGATGCTCATGGCAGGCACGTGGAAGAGTCTGCAGGCCCGAATTTGGGGCTTCCGGCTGGGAATTCCCATCCCGAGTTCTCCGCACAGTCGCGGCCGAGCCCACGGGGCGCTGGGGAGAGCCCGCACGGGCCAGCGATGTTCCGGGACCTTCCACAGCTCTCTCACGGCCTGGCCCCCACGGCCCGGGACAATTTGGTCTAAATTGTCCCCCTTCCTCCGTGAAGTACCATCCTATCCCAATTACACAAATAGGGCACAATTCAAGAGCGGGGGAAAATCTTTCTTCGGGGCTGGGGTATCCCAGGACTGTCCGTGTGTGTCCCGGGTGTGCCGGGCTGCGACTGAGCCCAAAGGCAGCTCGGGTGAGACCAGAGAGACTGGACCGACCGCATCCCCAATACACACACAAACACCTCTCTTACTCCGGCGAAGAGCCCCGGGAGCGGGACGGAGGGGCTGTTTCCCGGGGAAGAGTTAACAAATCCCGGGAGTGGCGGGGCTGGGGGGCGGGTGGGGGAGATCCGGGGGGAGCAGTGGGGGCAGGGAGGCTGCGGAGCCCCGCTGCCCTGCAGGGAAGGCGGTTGCATTGCCAAAGACGCCCCGCTGGGCTAGCAGGCCCGGGAGCAGATTAATCAGGCACTAATTCAATTTACAACAACCACTTTTATTCAGCTCGGTGGCAAGGAATTCAAAGCGGGGAGAGGGGCGGGCGGAGTGGAGGGGGCGGAGGCCGGCCTGGGGCTCACGGCTGCCCAGGCAGCCCCCGTCCCCTCGGGCCGCCCCGCCGGGGAGGGGACCGCGCCGCCGTGCCAGGGCCAGGCCGCTTGAGTGACACGGCGTGGGCAGCGCTCCGAGAGAGGGCACCTCCGTTGGAAAAATAAAAGTGCCCTTTTAATCAAAGAGGGAGGGAAGGGGGGCGAGCAGGGCAGCCAGGAGCCGCGGGAGGGAAACTCTCCGCTCCTTCCCGGGACCGTCTCTCCGAGATCTCGGTGCTGTCCCCCGGGGCTGTGCTCCCGGCCGGGATCACCGGGAAGAAGAGCTGGGACAGAGCTGATCAGGAGGGAGGTGGCCGTCAGGGTCGGCCCCTCGGCACCGTGGGGCTGCAGGACGGGTGGGAAGGGGAGACCGAGGATGGGCCACGGCCCAGTGCGGGACAAGTGCCGCCCTTTAACCCCTTCCTCGCTTTAACGGGAGCCCCGACAAACTGCAAACCGAGACGGGGGGCGGCCCCTGTGCCTGGGTTGTCCCGGGAATGTACTAGGGAGACGAGATCAGACCCTTAAAAAAACCTGCCGACGGTCGCCAGGCCCCTTAGTTCCCATGTAGTGTCCAAAGACTCGAGATTTCTCCCTGTTAAACTTCCCTGGCATCGGGGATTCTGTCCCGGGGGCGAAGGCTGCGGGCCGAGACCCTCCGGGAGCCCCCTCGGAACGGGCCAGTGCCCGCGGGTGCTGCGGGCTCTGCCCCGACCCTCCCTCCCGGTCCAGCTGAGGGGACCAGTCTCTGTCTGGCCTGGCAGAAGGGGGGGGCCAGCAGCCACCAGGTGGGAGACGTCCCCATCCTGTCCCTCTCGGCGTCCCCACAGTTGGGAGGGGGACTCCTCCCGGCCGCTCCCCCCCCCACACACCGCTCCACGCCCCCAGATGCAGGGGCGCGGGGGGTCCTGGGGTCCCCCGGCCCCGTCGGGGACACAGAGAGGCAGGGGGGAGCACGAGGGTCCCTGCGCGGTGCTCGGGGCGGCTCGGGAGCCCCGCGGCGGCGCTGGCGCCCATCGCCGCGGTGTCGGGGCGGGTTCCGTCCCACTCACATCCCCCCCCCCCCCCCCCCCCCCCCCCCCCCCCCCCCCCCCCCCCCCCCCCCCCCCCCCCCCCCCCCCCCCCCCGCCCTCCCCGAGGCCTGTGCGCGTCTCTGGCTGAGCCGCCAGTGGATGTCGTTGTTCTGTTCCTTGAGCGCGATGTCACTCCTTTAGCATGACCTCAAACGCGGCGGGGGCTGGGACCGCCAGTCATTCTCCGTGCGAGGGCCGGGGCGGGAGGCAGGCGGGACCCAGCCCCGCCGCCAGCCCCACTTTTGTGGTGCCGCCGCCGCCGCGGTCTCCCCTTTCTCCGCGGGGCTGGCCGCGGGGCGGGCGATGCTCCGCGCTCCCTGAGCCGCCGCACCGCGTCCCTCGGCCGAGGCGCCCCGCGGAGCTGCGCGCCCGAGCGGCGGCTCCCCCGTGTCCCCGGTGCCCCCTCCCCGCTGTCCCCACGCCGCGCGGAGGTCGCGCAGGATGCCGCGGAGGGGCGCGGAGGCGCCGCTGGCCCTGCTGCTGGCGGCGGCGTGGCTGGCGCAGCCCCTGCGCGGGGGCTACCACGGCGTGAGCATGTTCGCCGTGCAGACAGCCCAGCCCGACCCCTGCTACGACGAGCACGGGCTGCCCCGCCGCTGCATCCCCGACTTCGTCAACTCGGCCTTCGGGAAGGAGGTGAAGGTGTCCAGCACCTGCGGGAAGCCGCCGTCGCGGTACTGCGTGGTGACGGAGAAGGGCGAGGAGCAGGTCCGCACCTGCCACCTCTGCAACGCCTCCGACCCCAAGCGCGCCCACCCGCCCTCCTTCCTCACCGACCTCAACAACCCGCACAACCTGACCTGCTGGCAGTCCGACAGCTACGTCCAGTATCCCCACAACGTCACCCTCACCCTCTCCCTCGGCAAGAAATTCGAGGTGACCTACGTCAGCCTGCAGTTCTGCTCGCCGCGCCCCGAGTCCATGGCCATCCACAAGTCCATGGACTACGGCAAGACCTGGGTGCCCTTCCAGTTCTACTCCACGCAGTGCCGCAAGATGTACAACAAGCCAAACCGCGCCGCCATCACGAAGCAGAACGAGCAGGAGGCGGTGTGCACCGACTCGCACACCGACGTGCGGCCCCTCTCCGGCGGCCTCATCGCCTTCAGCACCCTGGACGGCCGCCCCACCGCCCACGACTTCGACAACTCGCCCGTGCTGCAGGACTGGGTGACGGCCACCGACATCAGGGTGACCTTCAGCCGCCTCCACACCTTCGGCGATGAGAGCGAGGATGACTCTGAGCTGGCCCGCGACTCCTACTTCTACGCCGTCTCCGACCTGCAGGTCGGCGGGCGATGCAAGTGCAACGGCCACGCGTCGCGCTGTGTCCGTGACCGCGACGACAGCTTGGTGTGCGACTGCAAGCACAACACGGCCGGCCCCGAGTGCGACCGCTGCAAGCCCTTCCACTACGACCGGCCCTGGCAGCGAGCGACGGCCCGGGAGGCCAACGAGTGTGTGGGTGAGTCCAGCGCCGCGGGCACGGACAGAGGCGGGGAGAAGGACGGCGAGAGGGCGCGGAGGTCCCCGGAGGGGCAGGGAGAGGGAGGGCAGAGCGAAGAACCCGCGGGGGACTGGAGCGAAAGGCACGGGGACATCCAGGGACACGGCGAGCAGCGCGGGGACAACCAGGGACACGGGGAGCAAGACAGGGACACGCGGGGAGATGGAGAACAGGACAGGGCGAGGACACTGAGGTACCGGGGAGCGTAGGGCAAAGGACGGGACGCTGAGGGGCCCCGAAGCGCGGAACGGGGATGTGAAGGCGCTCGGAAGCTCAGGGAATGGGACACCGAGGCGCCCGGCAGCTCCAGGCAGGGAACACTGAGGCAGCCGGGAGCGCGGTGGTGGGTGACAACACCGAGGGACCTCCGGGTGCAAAGCAGGGGGCACAGGAAACCGGGGACAGCCGGGCAGGGCACGGCGAGGCACAGGAATTTGGGGAGGGGATACCGAGAGCTCCGGAGGTGTGGGACGGGGGAGACCGGAGGCAACAAGACTGGGGCACACCGAGGCACCCGGTGGCGCAGGGCGGGGAGTAGCGGGGTACTCCGGAGCGCAGAGAAGGGGGCAGCAGGGAACCTCGGAAACGCGAGGCAGGGGACACCAAGAAGCTCAGGAGAGGGGAAAAGGGACACTCAGGAATACGAGAAAAGGCAGTTCGTGCCCGGAGAAGCGCGGAGGGGCCCTGGCTGGCTGGGGAGGCTCTCCCGTCACAGGCAGGTCCCGGCCGGGGGTCCCGCAGGGCACGGGGGGGGGGGG